CCCCCCCCCCCCCCCGCCTCCACTGTGTGACTGTGCGACAGTGTGTGACAATCTATGTTTGTAGTGTGGCGGAATCGTTGGACGTGAAGAAGCAGTTTTTTGACATGTTGCTCGCATCGGCGGCGGACGCGTTGTGTGACTCGGTGCGGGAGCCTTCGACGGGTGTGCTGGTGGATGCGGTAACGGCAGAGGAGATTCCGAATCCGTCGTTAGCTTCGGTGGAGGCAGGTGAGCTGAAGAGGTTGGCGAAGAAAAATCGGGCGAACGCGGTGGTGAAGGGGCTCAAGATCGCGGGAATGTCGGTGGGCGTGGGTGCCCTAAGTGCCTTGACGGCTGGACTGGCTGCACCGGCCTTCGCAGCTGGGTTCGGCGCGCTCGGAATCGCCGGAACCTCGGGACTCGCAGCCTTCCTCGGCTCGGCCGGCGGCGCCGCCTCGCTGGCCTCCGTGTTTGGCGCGTCTAGCGCCTCACTCTCGGGTTGGAAGTACTCACGTCGACTCGCGGACATCCGAGTATGCGAATTTGTCAAACTCGACAATGACAACAGCAACCACGCTAACGACGCCATCAGCGGCTACATACACGAGATGATCGAATACAAACAGAAGCGACTGGAACTCGCAGGACGATCCGGACCGCCGCCCGGAAACGAGTCTGCAGACCACCAGGGGGACGAAAGCCTAGATCACCCTAGCCAGGTCTCCAACGACCGACCAGAGTCCAGCGACCGGCCAGGGTCCAACGAGCGACCGGAGTCCAGCGACAGACCAGGGTCCAACGACCGGCGAGGGTTCAACGACCGGCGAGGATCCAACGACCGGCGAGGATCCAGCGACCGGCGAGGGTCCAGCGACCGGCCAGGATCCGACCTGACCTATCTTTCAGCAGACGACGCCTTTTCTCCTGAGGATGGCGCACGGCCTGTGGCGCCGAGTGCGGGTGCTGAAGTGCCGCATTTCGGGCCTGTTCGAGTTCTACATGAATTCCCTAGTGCAGAAATAAGCAGTCACGCCCCTAACCCCGAGCGCGACGTTCCGAGCCCGGAGCGCGACGCCGGCAGAAGTTCCGAGCGCGACGCACCCACAAGCCGCAACCTGACTTTGCCGATTGAGAGGACTTGGACCCCTGGAGGTAACGACGGCAGCGAGGCTGCTTCCTCTCGGAGGCGCAGCGACTCGCAGTGGTCGCGAGACTCCCCTTCTCACGGCCCGGAGTCTAAGACCTTTGGAGGGAAGGCGCCTGGAGGGAAGGCGCCTGGAGGGAAGGTGTACACAGGGAAGGGCTCTGGACCCAAGAGTGTGGGTGGGAAGGGGTCGGGAGTGGGTATGCATACCCCTAAGGGCAGGTCTCTATTGTTTAAAGCGTTGTCCCCGAGGTCGAAGGAGAGGTCGCCCAAGTCGAAGAGCAAAGAGGAGCCGGGTTCCGGGTCAAAGGAGAGTTCCGGTACGGGAAAGATGAAAGGCGGCGCTTCGGGTAAGAGTGAGCACAGGCGTGTGCAGGGTCGTAGTCAGCAGCAGACGAGCACACAGTTGCGAAAGTCGGCACCTTCTCGACGGTTCCGTACAATGAATAGTATGTCGTTGTTCCATGAGGCATATCCGCAGCATCATCCGGTATTACGTCCGCTGGGTTTGTACCACTTGACTGGACATCAACAGGGTCGTAATGTGCGGCCGGAGCCGCCGTTTCATCTAACAATAGGTGTGTCAGGTTGGTTGCGGGATGTGAATGAGTCGACGCAGGCTTGGGACTGTCTGCGGGATTGTCTGGGTACGGAGAGTTACGCGTTTCGTTGGGAGCCACAGTTGTTAACGGAGTTAGGATTTATGATGATGCGGTTAGTAGGTGAGTCAGTTGCCTATCAAGCTGCGACACTTTCTATCCAAATCGCCATGTCGGCCTCGGCTGGATTCATCATGTGGCCAGTGTCCTTCGTGCAATACGCAGCCCAGCTAGACAACGCCTGGCTAACAGCTAAAGAACGTGCGCAACAGGCAGGCGTTATCCTGGCGGCCGCAATCTGCGACCAAAATCTGGTTGGCAACCGTCCTGTTACTCTCATAGGCTGCAGCATGGGCTCCCGTGTCATAGCATACTGCCTCAAGGAACTCTACTCTCGAGAGCAATTCAACCGCGTGGCAGACGTCGTTCTCATGGGCCTCCCCGACAATAAGAGTAAAGACGACTGGAAGAAAATGCGAGCCGTCGTCTCAGGCAGACTCATTAATGTCTATAACTCCAACGACCTCATCCTCATGTTCCTCTACCGATGGATGGAATGGGGCGTCTCAGTCGCCGGCCTATCCCCTGTCGAGGACGTACGCGGCGTCGAAAATTTCAACGCCTCTCCCATCGTCACATCCCACTACGAATATGAAGCACAACTACCCGACATCCTCTCCGTGCTCGGCGTACATTCCACGCTCATGAAGTATATAGACAAAAACCCACTAACAACCAACGACACAGACTAACACATAAATCCCGGGACCTACAGGTCCACGGATCGAATCTTTAAACCGACAGGTTGGGCCTTTGAGGGTTAGTTACATGGCAAGCCTTGCTCCAATTTCAATCGCCGGATCATATGACCAATATTAGAATCTGCAGCCAACAACCTGTAGCAGCCCACCACGTAGAGGCCGAGACGTGCACGAGACATGGCGACAGTCATGCGGTTGAGATCCGCAAGATAGCCAACCGACAGCGAACGAACGAATGAAATTAATATATCTACATGGAGCACAAGTGTTAAGTGGTGAGGGTGGAGCACAATTGTTAAGTGGTGAGGGTGAACAAGTGTTAAGTGGTGAGAAATATGGGACGTATGAGTGGCAGTGTTATGAAGTAATGAGGCTTACAATCATTTTGTTGTCCCTGGAACTCGTCGATGGTTGCAATTCGTATGTTATGTTTCATATTTCTTCGTAAGAAATCTCGTTGAGCTGCATATGCTGCGAGTATAGTTATCTTTCTTGGGTTATAGTCATGTATGTGGATCATATAGTTCACAAGACGCACAATTGCAAACGCTTCCGGTTCGTTGACATAATGATGGGGGAGGGGTGATGTTTCCTTAGAGTTGTGTAGGTTGAAGAAGATAGAAGAGGCGGTAAAACCGTGGTTCGGTAGATCATCCAAGTCTCGGATGTGTGGCATATCTTTCAGTTCAGTCCCTGACTCCTCTTTACGATAACGCCATCTCCAGACGTCGGCAATTTCGCTCTTCATCCTGCCTTGCTGATCGAGCCAGACGACCCGTGGATAATTGAGATCAACAAGTCGTTTAAAGAGAGACCTTTGGAACCGACACTGTGTGCCTAAAATTCGATTTTGTACAATGGGTCCTAGTTGTAAATGATCACCCAGCAAAACAATTCTTCGCAATCGTATCTCGTTTGGATTATCATACTGCTGTAGATAAGCACTTAGGATACATTCCAGCTCCAGTAACTGAGCTGACTCCTCAATCACCAAAGTATTATACTGGAATCCGAACTTAATCAATGAAGCACGAGTAGCTAACGCCCGAGTGGATGTCATTGCAACTATTTTGGAATGCACAGAAGTCATATAATGTGACTTCTCTGACTGAGTCCGTAGCATTTCAAACGGAAGGCATTCTTCTATATACGAAAACAAACTCAAAATGCGTTCCTTCTCTCTTTCATAAGCCAAACGACCAGACTCAAAATCTGTCGTGCCAAGGAAAATGTCCGAGTCACTGAAATCATATGCCGGATAAAGGAGTTCCCATGTATTCAACTTAATCCTCTCCTGTCCTTCATCCACCACATTGCTCTCCGTCCCTATACTATCGTCCGTCTCCTCCTTAATATTAACCTCAATAATGCCCTGCTCTGTAGAACGATTCACTTCTGCACCAGAATCGGAGTCAGGCCCACCGTTTGAGGTGGCGTTTAAGTCACGGCTAACGACCTGGGAGGAGGTCGTCAACACTGGCCTTGGAGAATAAAACATTCGCTCCATATTAGATTCGAAAAGGTTACTCAAAGGAGTTCCGGAACCAAGATACCTCTTCCATTCTGGATGACTTGTTAATTGTTTTAACGTAAGATCTGACACATCCCCTAAGCTTTGACATAAATTCTCGTATAGCTGAAGCCGATGTAATAGATAAAAATCTCGTAATTTTATACAACCACAACAATCGTTAGTTAGTTCTAGAGGTAGTTTTAGAGTCTCTGTTAACCTTCGTATTTCTCCCAGATACTCGTTCTTACGGCTCTCAATAAACTCAACTCGTCCTTCAGTCGAAAACGACTCCTCCAATTCAGCCTCTCCAATGCCTAAACGGAGCAGGTGGCGACCGTCCACGCCGAATTTCTTAATTTTCATGAAGAAATCATTCAGAGCATTGTTGCTTCGAGCTATCAACAACGTCCTTTCCGACTCATGCAGATCATGAAGCAAGCTCACTATTTGCACTGCAACATCCGTCTTACCGGTACCCGGGGGCCCGACAATGAGCGTAACGCCAGGCAAAAGCGCGTTTGCAATTGCCAACTTCTGCTTACATGTATACGTGAAGCCTGGCCTACTTTGAGCCAATAATCCGTCTAATTCAACGGAACAATCGACCTGAGTCATTCTTGGACTCGCGTTTGCTATACCGTTCGCGTTTGCTATACCGTTCGCGTTTGCTATACCGTTCGCGTTTGCTATACCGTTCGCGTTTGCTATACCGTTCGCGTTTGCTATACCGTTCGTGTTTGCTATACCGTTCGCGTTTGCTATACCGTTCGCGTTTGCATATTCCTCTTTTATAGGAGAAGATGGGAGCTCAGTTATAACCCTAATATCGTTAAAGTATCCCAGAAGAATGTTGCGCATATCATAATTCAGCTGCTGTTCCAACGAATTTGTCTGAAGCAATAAGTCCTTCATAGTAACTAAATGGTTAGGATAGCTTGATGTTTCTGGCCTTCTTCTCAGGCAGATGTTGAAAGCGCTATACAAGGTATCAAGAACCTTATTTTCGGCAATTGCTAAAACATCCTTCTTGTACTGAATGGGATCAAATTTTACGATATAACGTTTTTTATTTGAAGTTTCTGCCGTCATTTTAACTGTTATATCTGTAGACAATTTTGATCTACTTGGCGGTATCAGCGCCCCAACGGGTTGGCTTGTCATGTCGCTTGCGCCGTTCGGCATTTGATGTTTGCGGCCTCCAGCGAAACCACCGGCTTCATCGTCATCTTTATGATTTCCTCCGTCGCGCGGGTCAGGCCCATTGGGATCAATTTCAGAAACGACCTGGCAGGATCTCAAGGCAAGGATGTTGTAAAGCTTAACGAATTCGCTAGGTAACATGTGGTCGCCAGGGTAAGGTATTTGGGGATCGCCAATGATCCCTCCAGCGCAAAGCAAATAGAGCATTTGCCCTGGTGTTACGTCGTTACTCCACGTATCGAACGCATGTTTGTTATCCAGATCCAGTTCCAGTTCGGCAAAAACACCACCGTTATCTTCAGTCGAGTCAAGTCGAACGGACGTGACGTTGCTGTTAATGATTTTACAGCCGTAAGGCGACCGACCTTCGAAGAAACACACGTTTCCACCGTCGATTCGCTGGTGTAGCCCGCGGTAAATATTCGTGTAATCAACCGTCGCGTCGAGCTCTTCAGTCACACCCAGAAACGCGGAACCGTACAGTTCCTTACCCTGCTCATTAGCAAGCAATCGTCGCGGTTTCATCGACCATAAAGTCAGTTCCAGGTCTTTCCTAACTTCATAGAATGCTTCTGTTCTATATAATCGAAAATTCCGATAGATCATATCCCTCATATTCAAATACTGCATAGGCAGCTTGGGCAGTGCTATAGGAGCGTCTCCATCTTGATCTTCCTCCCAATAATTCTCCGCCCACACCGAAGCTTCATCTGGGTACACGGGCGTCTGCTCTAGACTATCTAACCAATCCATCTCGCCATGATAATGGAAGCACACGCTTTGGACCATCATTTCCTTTTCATTTTTTTCGCGCGAATTCTTCAGGAATATTTTCAATAGATTTTGACTCATAAACAATTTACAGACTTCCTTCAGCTCCTCTACGGAAGCGTGTGACATCATCAACTCGCGAAAGAACGATGGGTCATTCAATCTGTACAATGGATGCTGCAGTAAATGATACCACAACGATGACCGGTCTGTCGTGGTGGAAGACGCGTTGAGTGCCGACGGCCGGGCGCTGGTTTTTGTTACCATGAAGGCGTATCTTTGAAGCTTTCCGAGAAGTCTAAGTCTTCTTAACTTTTGGTCAAAGCTCCGTAATATTTTGTCTTCATTAGCATCGAAGCAGTAAGATTCATTTATACGACGAAGAAAGAAAGAGGAATATCTTGAAACTGCCAAACTGCTATTCAGCCTGCTGACAAACTGTGTAATCTCAAGCAACGGCATAATAGCTTTACGCATGGTGGTCTGCCCCATAATCAACTCAATTAGCTCCAAACTATGCTCGGTGATGCTAATCTGCGCCAGCAGCTGATTATTTGACCGTTGTGAAACCCGATATTCGCCAGGCCGCTGCTTATCCAGACTCTGCTTATCCAGACTTTGCTTATCCAGACTCTGCTTATCCAGACTTTGCTTATCCGGATCTTCATCAGGACGCAAATTGCCCGCCGCCAATTCCGATTTGTAGAAGGACTCCACTACAAACGGCAGCTCCAACACTCCGTAGTACACCAACCGTCTCGCATAGTGCCATTGGAGTAGCTTGGCGGGAACTCGACGTCTTGAGCTGTCGGTCGCGCTCAATGCGATATCGGACGGCGAAAATTCCGTCAGCTGCTTGTCCACCGTTAAATAGGCACCAGCAATTTTCCTTACCGTATTTGTCAACACAGTGCCGGCTACTCCCTCCTTGACCGCAGGTTCGCCGCATTTGGACAAGGGATATTCATTCCCATCAAAGAACCAGGACGGAATACCGAAGAACTTGAACAATATTGGCTTAAACACTGCCAAGTGCGCACTCTCAACCGCCAGTTTCAGGAATTGAATAGCTTTTACAACCAAACCAGGCTTCACACAACGACATATACATCCTCCCTCTTCCGAACCTGCTTCTTTCGAGCCTGCGTCTTCCTCACATACAACTCCTGCAGCCGGATTCGATGGCAGGCATTCGCTCTCACTTCCGACATAATGTAATATGACATGCGATACAAACACCAAAAGTTCTACAGCCCTTTCTTCATCTACACCGCTCAGTTCATCTAATTCAACAATCGTCAGGACGTCTGACCATACCTCATCCCCCATTCTTTTTATATCCCCCCCATGAAACACCCTGAGTCCCTTCAGCGCGTAAAATTTAAGGAGAAATACTCGTGTGCGCGCCCGAAAAGGGGTTGCACACGCGTGTGCAAACTGCAAAGAGAACAATTTGCGCAGCACGGAGCACGGGAGAGAGGGGAGGGCGAAGAACACATTAAAGGAACGTTTGATGGACGGATGTTGAGGACATGTTGGACGTGTTGCAGAGTGCAATATAAATCCCATTTGGGAAAAGCCCGTTTGGGAACATCCCGTTTGGGGATGTAATATAAAGAGACCATTTTCGTGAAAGTTAGCTAGAACGCACCCATCTTTCCCTTATGGTTCAGTAGGCGCGCACCGCCACTGATGGGTGCTCCGCTGACGTCGTTGAGATTGACGGGGTAGATGTAGGCGGAAACTTTGTCGGCTCCAGGCATGACTTCTTGGTCGATGGCTTTGGTTTCTCTGTCTAGGAGGATGACGGCGTCCCGTTGCTGTGTAGCGACGACTCGTTGTCTGAAGTTGGCCTCGGCATTGGCGTTCATTTTGTCGACATAGCGCGATTGTTCCTCCAAGAAGTGTTGTCTGGATAGCCCACCGCTGGCTTCCCATTCGACGCGGTAGCGTTCTTCCTGTTTGTGATGGTCGTCGACGGCCTTGTGGTACGCATGGATCTGTTGTATGTAGGATCTTTGGAAGGCTTTAATGGCGGCCTGGAATTGCTTTTGTTGTTCCGTCTGCATGGCCTCCAGTTTGTCGTGCCACAGTTGAAGTTCGGTGTGTTGCAATTCCTGGATCCGACGCACCCAAGCGATCAGCAAAATCTTCCAGTCGTCAAGGTTCAATCGTTTCTTGGAATCGAAACGCACACCGACGGCGTTCAGCAACGGCGTGATCTCCGTCAGTCGTAGACGCGACTTGCTGTCACTCACCTTACCAATATATTCACCTAATCCCATTGAGTACAAGAAGTGCCGGATTATCGGCTCCACCTTCTCGTAGTCGAATCCTTCGCACCGTGGACATTCGTAGCTCGCATGATCCAGTCCGTCACACGGCGCTGCCAGACATTGGTACGCGTGCTCCAATTCAGCTTCCGCAGTTGGCCACTGGCTCGCCAGGTCAGCTAACAACGTGTCCATTGACACCTGAATCACCTGTTCCAAAGGGTGCTTGCTATGGATCTCTCGCACACGGGGTGAACTGCGACTTTGGTCATTCCCCATTCTTATCTATTAATGGAACACGTGCCTTGAACCTATTGCATGCCCCAACTGGAATCTGCACCCTGACCCCCCGCTGCTCGCCCCCTGGTTCCCTCCTCGTCCCCTCTCATCTGGCCTCCCACCCGCCAGTTGATACGACCCTTTCGTCAGGCGGTCACACTCCCGGTCAGACGCCTGGTCCGCCCCTTGGTCAGGTGGTTACACTTCCGTTCAGACCGTCTGGCCGGACACGTGACGTCGGGCTTCGCTCAATGCGGCGCCTATTGCACCGAGGTAGGGGGCCACCCGCACGAAGTAGATCTGGATCTCACCCTGTGACCAGAACTGGATGCAATGTTGCACGGCGGCGAGAGTCTCGGGCATGTCCACGTAGTAGCCGATCATGACAATGCGTTTGCAGTTATGGATACGGGCGTTTAGGTAGGCGAGTTGGGCAACGTTGAAACTTGTCATGGATAACAAGCTCTTGTACACATCCGCCTTGTGAACCGTTTGGTCAGCCTCGCACTCTTTAGGTCTTCGGTCTGCCGCAGGTGCCACAGTTCCACGTTCGTTCACCAGCCGGTTTGTGAACACGTAGCTCGCTGCGCTGTCGCTCTCCAAAATGCTTACCACTTTGACGCCGTCTAATTCCACCTCCTTCCCCAACTGGCGCGGCGGTGGCACCTTGGTCGGGTCGCTGTCCAGCAAGTCGATGCACGCCGCGGGGTAGTGTTCTGAGTGGGAATGGGGGTACTCTCCTAAGTGAGCAAGACCCCGGTCTTGCTCTCCCCCCGAATCCGGGTGGTCGCCCCCCAAGTGGGAGTGGTTGCCCCGATGCACGGCGTGCGCTCGTTCCGTCAGTGTGCTAGAGGCACAGTCGACAGACCCGAGGTCTGCAGCGACCGAATTATTGGAGGGGGAATGAGGTGACTGATTGATGCCCTGAACACACAAATTGGTCCCATCAAAGGCCTGGACATAGCTGCCATTGTACATACAGTCATGCACAGGTGTATCCACATGACTGCCGGGACGGTGTGGCGGCTCGCTGTAGCCGCAATCGTCGACCGATGCGGTGCTCACGGCAGCGGGTTGTTTCGCGCCGGGTGAAAAACTTTCCGAAAACGGTGAACGTAATTGCAGAGACGGACTCTCCAAATCCGACGAACAATTCACTAAGTAACTCAGCTCACTCTCACCGTCAACCTCGCTCCCCACCACCGCCTGGTCACTCGTCGTGCTCCCCTCCACGTTGGCCGTAAACTCGATCGGCAACCGGTCCTCCGGCAACCGGTCCTCCGGCAACCGGTCCTCCGGCAACCGGTCCTCCGGCAACCGGTCCTCCGGCAACCGTTCTCCATATAATCGTCCTCCAGATAATCGTCCTCCAGATAATCGTTCTTCCGGAAACCGGTTGGTCGCGCGTTCGACTCCGGAGGATGTGGTTCCAGAGGTGTTTCCGGGCAACCGGTCATCAATAGTTTCCGTGGCAGCGGAGACATGCAGGGCTTCGAAGAAGTCACTGGGTGCGTGGCAGCTGCCTCGGCTGAGGGGTAGAAGGCGAGGGCTGCCTTCACCCTCGAGAGTGAAAGAGGGGAACGGTTTAACGGCGGAGCTAGGTGAGGAAGGTCGGCGTTCGGCAGGTGGTTTTTTCGGCTTGATGTGCTGCATTTTGCCCATGGTGCTGGCAACCATGCTGCCGGAGAGTCCGATGGTGCTATAATCGCCTCCGTAAATATCAGATACGAGCATGTCCACAGTCGTTTGATCACCAAGGTCGGATTGTAGAAAGGAGTCGTAAGCGCTGGTTCCGGCACCGCAGAATTGCTGACTGAGACCGAGGAAGGTGGCAAGACCGATGGTTGAACCGCCCACACGACGCATCCCCTGTTTCGTGACCTCGTGGAAAGATACACCCGCCTTCATATTCACTAATAGGTATGGGTACAATTCGAAACCGTTCGCTGCTGGTTGTGTGACGTACTTGACGCTGCTCGCCGCATCCCGACCCGACCCTGACGAGTCTGTAATAAACCTCGTGGTCTGCTCGTACCGATAAATACATGAACCCAAATGCTGACTGAAGAACTCCAGAGCCTCTCGCACACACTGTAACTCTTTCCGCTTTATCACCTCCGCCTCCAGCGTCGGGTACCCTAGCGCCAACCGCTCCACCTCGTTGTATACATGTAATCGCGTCTTCAACAACTGCTCAAAATTCTTCGCCTCCGAACCCATCGTAGACACTCGCGTTATAAACTTCTGATTGGTTATCTTCGCGTAGTACCCCGTATACTCGATGCCCTGAACGACAATGTGTAAACGAACGCATATAAACGCCGGTATATCGTTGGGAAGCACCAGACAACCGTATAGGTACGCACAAATACAAAAAGGACAAGCACGGACACACGACGGATACACGACGGACATAGGCACAGGCACTAGTATAGAATAGACCCCAAGCACAAGTTCAAATAAGGTCGACCACCGCCCCACCCACCGGGCATGATACCGTAAATTACACAGACTGTTACATTATTGCGGGGAGGGATACCTTTGAGAGAACGCGATCCATGTCATCGTATTGGTACAGAATGCAGTACACACGTCGTTTGTGTTCAACGTCGTTGAAGATCCAGGGGGCAGAGAGTAGCGGGGTTTCCTTCAAAAAGCTTAGCAGCGCATGTTCTGCTCGAGACATGGGGGCCTCGGGATGGATTTCATTGTCTTGGTCCTCATGCCGCACGGATAGCGAAACGCGTACGATGCTTCCGGAAATGTCGAATGCAACCGCATGGGACATTATAAAATGGAGGAAGGCGAATTACCCGAAAACACGGGGCCGGCTGCCCACGCCCTTCCTGGACGCACGTTCGTTCCCCGGCCTCGACGAGCAGCGCTGACGGAACCGGCGCCGGTTAAGAGCGTGATTCCAAGTCACTTGCTATCGAAAACCGCTATCGACAGTGAGGAGGATGATGATGATGTAGTGACTATTAACTCGTCGCGGCTGGGGCCGAAAGGCGGATCGCCAGCCGCAGCCATAGGACCAGCCGCGGTCGACGCACCTGCCAGTAGGGAACGGACAGCCAGAACAGACGCGCCAGGCAAAACTACACCAACAAGAGCCGGAATAGGAGCCGGCACCAGAGCGGACCGGGATTCGAGCGCTGGTGGTAGTGGTTCCGAGGGCCGTCGTCCTGATGGCCGTTGGGTTGTTGATGGCGGTCGACTTGAGGGCGCTCGTCCTGATGGCGGTAGGGTTGAGGGCGGTCGCCGCGGGCTGGGTTACAAGACGGTGATGGAGGCGCGGGAGAACGCGGATGGCGTGCGGTTTTTGACAAAGAAGGAGCGTGAGGCGCTGAAGGCGTACGAGGCGGCGGCGGAGCGGGAGAAGGCGGAGGAGTCGGCGGCGGCGGCGTTGCGGAAGCAACGGGAGTTCTTAAGCCAGGCGACGAGGGAATCGAACCGGGAACCAGGCGGTTGGGAGCCGCGCGACTGGTGGTCGGCGGAAGCGGAAGGTCGGAGTGGAGAGCCGTGGCGGGAGTCTCGCAAGCGCGGGCTGTCTGAGACTGCAAGTGACTCGGGGCATATGGGTCCGAGCGAGTCCCCTGATCCCAAGCTCTCCCCTGGGGAGAATCGCAGGCTCTCCGCGGAAGAAACCTCGGCCGCGGCGACCTCGGGCGTAAGGGCCTCGGTTGTGGCGGGAGACTTGGGTAGGAGCCCGGCGCCAGAGTTGCCTCGGAGTCATGAACAGGAATTGGCTCAGTTGCGGAACCAGTATTTGGGAATCGCGAAGGACCGGCGGAAGTTGCAGAAGCCGTCGGAGAAGTTTCGGAATGTGTTTCAGTTCGAGTGGGACTATAAAGATGACACGACTCGAGGCGACTACAACCCCGTGTACACGGAGCGATACACACCGCAGCTGCTCTTCGGACGCGGCTACCGAGCGGGTATGGATGTTCGCGAACAGCGAAAACAGAACCGTTTCTACGACTCGCTTGCCAGCCGGCGCGCGGAGCTTCTAAGTCGGGGTCAAGTCGACGAGGATGAACTTGACCTGGGCCGACTCTCGGTCACACAGCTGGTTGCACTGGACAGCGGGGGTCTCGGCATCGGGGGCCTGGGTACCGGGGTGGGAGGACAGGTGCTGGGTTTACGTTCGGGTGCTGGGCGTCGATCACTCGAGTTAAGTGGCAATTACTCTGACGATACATCGGATGGCGGGTTGTCGGAAGAGGTAGGTTTCTCGTCGGTGGACAAGAAACCGTTGGGGCAGATGACGGAGCGAGATTGGCGTATTTTCCGTGAGGACCACAGCATTGCGATCAAAGGCACACACGTACCGCCGCCACCAGCGAGGAGTTGGGCGGAAGCGCAGTTGCCGCGGGAAATAATGCGTGCCGTGGAACGTGCCGGGTACGTTTGTCCTACCCCGATTCAGATGCAGGCGATACCGATTGCGCTAGGTTTGCACGACATGATCGGGATTGCCGAAACTGGTTCGGGAAAAACGGCGGCATTCATAATTCCAATGATCACCTATGTTAACCGTCTGCCAAGGCTGGACGAAGAGTTGGCCCAACGTGGACCATACGGACTCGTACTTGCCCCAGCTCGTGAGCTGGCGCTCCAAATTCGGGAGGAAGCCGTCAAATTCGGAGCGGAATTAGGCATTAAAAGTGTGTGTGTACTAGGAGGCAAAAATGCCGAGGAACAGGCGTATCGACTGCGCCAGGGTGCCGAGATTGTGATCGGGACGCCCGGTCGTCTGCGCGACTGCCTCGACCGTGCGTATACCGTCCTAAGTCAGTGCAATTATATCGTGCTCGATGAGGCTGATCGTATGATCGACTGCGGCTTCGAGCAGACGGTGAACTGGATCTTGGACCAGATCCCCAGTTCTAAGCCTCAGAACTGGAGCGAGGAGGCGAAGCAGGAGATCATGAGGCAGGCTGGCTACCGCGAGATCCGCATCACGCAAATGTTTAGTGCTACCATGCCGCCGGTGCTCGAGAAATTGGCCAAAATGTACCTCTGCAAACCCTGCGTCATCCAGATTGGCACGCCGGGCGAAGGCAAACGCTCGATTGTCCAAAGCGTTGAGTTCGTGCACGACCTGAAGAAGGGTAATCGACTGGTGGAAGTGGTGCGGCAACATCGCGGTCGTATCATCGTCTTTGTAAATCTTAAGAAGTCAGCGGACTCCGTCTCCAGACTTTTGCACCAACATGGCTTCCGCGCAGTCGCGCTCCATGGCGGCAAAAGCCAGGACGTGAGAGAAGCCAGCCTCGAGAGCTTTCGGAACGGAGACATGGACGTGTTGGTCGCCACAGATGTCGCCGGACGCGGTATCGATGTGGACGACGTCCAACTCGTCGTCAACTATGACATGCCCGCCGAAATTGAGACTTACACCCACCGCATCGGCCGCACGGGCCGGGCCGGTAAGGAAGGTAAGGCCGTCAGCTTCCTAACTGAAGACGATGCTCGCATATTCTACGACCTCAAAAATCAGCTTCTAGCCACCGATAACGCCGTACCCAAGACCCTCAATGACCATCCACAAAGCAATGTTAAACCGAACCCTGAAAGCAACCAGCAACACACACAACGGAAACTTCTGCTCAATACCAGCGGACTCACAGCCAATCTGCCCGCCACTCTCGCTAACCTGGCGCCCGCACTCATCACGGACTAGCCAATGACTGACGCCCATCCCCATAAAGCAATGCAACTTGTTGTATCCAACCTGCCAGATGAACCGCCCGATGCCTGCTGTTCTGTTGCAACCCATCTAAGCGCCTAAATAATACGTCGACCTCGACCTCGACCCTATGATGTTATCGAGCACACGTGTCCGGCATTACCCCGCTGATTTGTCGTGCTGAATTTGGGGTTCATATATCGGTCAATTCTATCTACCTGTCATTGACGATTTCTTCGCCCGGTCATATTTCGCCCGGTCATATTTCGCCCGGTCGTATTTCACCCGGTCGTATTTCACCTGGTCGTATTTCACCTGGCTGTATTGCACCAGGTTGTATTGCGGCTTTCGGCTTTGTGACTCGTCGTTAGTCTTGCACTTCATCCTTGCTACTCTCCCATCCGTAGACAATTCCCGTATAAAGAGCGTAGACAAGTTTGACTGCCGTGACCATTATAGTTCTCGCCACACGACCGATCCAAGCGCCAGCCCAAATAAGGATATCCCATATATCCGGAGCGTCCTAAAGTATCAACCATTTACGTGAGTTGAGCGGTAGTGCAGACGAGCCACTGGTCTACAAAGCAGGGGGAGTGCATCATACAGGGTCGGTATCATCAATGTCGTCAATTAGAGAAACTCGTCGTGACTCATGTTCAGTTCCCAAGGATCGGATGCTGACTCCCTGGTCCGTCTCAGCCACTCCTGAGTTACTACCTCTCAAATAAAACGGTTCCGCCCATGCGCTTGTAAGGATCACTAGAAGAAACAAAAGGAACCGCCTCATATTTTTATACAATGATAATAACTAAAATGTGGTGCCACAGATCAACAAGACGGGCTGTCTTTAACTATGATCTGTAACATTACAATCGGAGGCAGCATCTAATCCGCAAACGAAACCATTTTCCAAACCTGAATCAAATCCTTCGTCTGCTCAACCTCCAGGCGTTCGGGTCTTCATGTCTGTTAGCAAGAGGTTGAATTTTATCCTTCAACTTTTTCGCAGTTAATTTATTCGGATTTGTCTCTTCGAACAGATGCGGAGCAATGGCTGTAAGCCATTTTGGATTTATTACACAGCAGTCTTTGATGTACTCCTTCGTTGTTAGCATTAATCGATGATAGAGGACATACTGGCTTTGTATTGAGTAAATACTGCTCATGGGATGCAAGAAAACTTGTTGATCTTCCAGCAAGGTTTTGTACCCTTCTTGGGGATCCTTTTTGGCGACATTTCTGAAATATCCAGCGCATATAGCCTGTCGAATTTTCTCTGATTTTCGTTTGGACACGCGCGTGCTAGATTGATTTTCGAATCTTATACTGTCCCTGAACTTCGGGGAATATCGGCATAATATATTGATGAGTTGTTTCCTTATTTCTTGAGCTTTCCTCATGCTTGAATATTGGATAAAATTCTCGTAACACCATGATTTGCTAAATGCGCTCTCACTCCAGGCATTGTAAACATTTAGATATGTAATATGATCCCCATCGATGCTCACAAATTGTCCTTTTTTGGTTTCTGCCTGCTCCTGTTTATCTCGTGGTCTATAAAATATATTCTCTATTTGAAGCATGCTGCTTATGGTGATGAGTTCTGTTCCTACATCCAAATCCAATGCCGCAAGCAATGTCTTTGCCATCTGCGGTTCCATGGGGAATTCGGCCATGCGTTTCCCGAGTGTGGTAAGATATCCATCGTCGTCCAGTGCCTTAAGCTCATACAGAGTTTCGAGGGCTTGAATCAGATTAACAACCGGGGGAGCGTCCATAAAATCAAAATGAAGTAAATCATTGACACCCAAAGCCTTAAGTTGTAGAACAGTGGAGCAGAGTTCCGACCTCTGGATTTCTGGGACAGCGGTGGGTAGCATTTCGTTGTTAAAGGCGTCTTCCGTGTAAAGTCTGAAGCACTTGCCCGGTCCAGTACGTCCTGCGCGACCGCTTCGTTGTTTGGCGTTGGCCTGGCTAATGGGGACAGCGGTGAGGGACTCGATGCCCGTTTTGGCGGAGTAGACTTTCACTTTAGCGACGCCCGGATCTACGACAAATTTAATGCCATCGATGGTGAGGGAGGCCTCTGCAATGTTGGTGGCTACCACGCACTTTCGGGACCCGGGAGGCGGGGGTTCGAAAATAAGAGTCTGCATTTCTGATGGCAGCGAGGCGTACACGGGCAGGATGATGAGGGGCGGCGGATCCTGGTCCGCAAGAGCCTCCATACGGTTGTGCAATGCGGCACAGGCGCTTTCGATCTCTTCCTGTCCGGTAAGGAAGACTAAGATGTCGCCCGCCGGCTCGGTCAAGTGGATTTGCATTACCGTGAGCAGAGCGGCCTCGAGGTAGTCGGGTTCGGCGGTTTTAGAGTAGTAAATATCGACTTTGTAGGAACGTCCAGGTATGATGAAGATTGGTGCGTCGTTGAAATAGGCGCTAAATTTTTCCGCGTCGAGAGTGGCGGAAGTAATGATAAGTTTTAGATCAGGTCGTTTGGTCACGAGCGTTTTAAGCAGGCCAAACAACACGTCTGTGGCGATAGTCCGTTCGTGTGCTTCGTCGAGGATTATGACCGAATATTTGGGCAGCGAGACGTCGAGCACACACTCACGCAGCAGAATGCCATCGGTCATATACTTAATTAGGGTATCCGCGCTGCTCATATCGTCAAACCGGATGGTGTACCCAACCTCCTGACCTAGTCGGCAGCCGTATTCGTCGGCCACCCGTTGTGCGATCGAGGTGGCAGCTACTCTTCGTGGCTGCGTACAAGCCACGATACCCCGCTCCCCGTACCCCGCCTCCGCCAAGTACTGGGGCAACTGCGTGGTCTTGCCGCTGCCCGTTTCGCCAATCATCACCAACACCTGGTGGTTCGCCACCGCGTCCAACAACTCTCGACGCAGACTGAAAATGGGCAAGTCTCTCCGTCTTTGCGCTATTGACTTGTCCTCTCGTGGGCCCAATGATCGCAGGTCCACGAACCTTCTCTGCCGGCGCAAAGCCCGCTCGTTGCTCGCTTCCCACGGCCGTCCACGATCCTGCTGCGATTCACGAGCTGCTTCACGCCGCTCTCGTGCCAGAACGCCACTCGTCGCCGCCGACCTCGCCAGAGTGCCGTCCGGCGCCCCCAACAACGAAACGCCGTCCGCCTTCACACCGCTACGTACCGTTTGACCTTTCAAAAACTTCGGCTCCACCGCACGCACCTCGATGTCAACCAACACACTCTCTTCCAGCGCCGGCGGCGCCTCCACCACCGTCTCGCATGCCACTCCACTCGCCTGTAACTGCATCAACTCCCAACGCTCGTAGTCGCTCAACGGCCGCTTCCGCCTACCCATTCTTCCCGCGTCGCCCCTTACTGAGTTACCACCCGTTGAGTTGCCACCCCCTGAACTGCGTCCCCACCCTCCCTCGTCGTCCTCTTCATCTTCCTGTGCCACCTGCAGACCCTCCATGAGCTCCAACGGAATCCCACTCATCGGACCCAAGCCCAACGGCACTTCTCCCTCCCCTCGGGACGGCTCTTCCTGCAGACAGGCAGGTGTGCAATTTGATAATGATAACCCCGGAAAACTTGACAAAACCTGTACCGGCACCTCCTCGTGCCGCGTCTCCCGAAACCGCTCCAGGTACCGCGGGTTCTTCGCCGAACTTAACCGGCTGCACAACCGCCACACACTCTCCCGGAACTCCACCGGCAACTCCCACTCCTCCGACGCTGCAATGAACGCCTCGCGCGTCGCCGAACTCTCCGCCACGTCACATACCATCTCCACTATACTCTCCAAATCCTACAAACAACAATTGAGCGCCCGCCGCGGACACAGTCGAGTGGGGGCAGGAGTGCGTACATTGTCGTCTACATCGCTCAACACGAGCTTGGTTTGCTTTATCACTCGGTTGACGAACGCGAGGTCCACCAACTTTTTTAACATCCCACCAAAATCAAATGAGCAATGAGTTACTCTCGGAATGGTGACCATTCACTCTTCTCGCTCGCGCCTACCAAAAGACCCGACAGCGAACGTTTGTTATATTCAGCACCTACTGCTCCAAGTCTACGACCACCCACGGCGCCCATAACGCCGGATGACAGTAGCAGCAGTAACTCCACACACGAACCCATTTCTCCGACGAACCCTTTTCTCCGGCGAAACCACTGCAAGTTTGACGGCGATCCGACGCACACGTCCAACCGGCGCAGAACAGTGCGACCTACTCGTCCCGCGTCTGTCAGTCAGTGAGACGAGCATCTTGCCACGAATCCGCCGAAACCCTGGTCTCGTAATGACGGTCGCCGCCGGTCCGCATAACGTGGTCACCGCAGGCCCGCGTAATGTGGTCCCCGCCGCCCCTCGAGGCTGCCCCTCCTGGTCGGCCTCTGCCTGGCCCCCCCTGCGGCCCGGCTGGGCCCTCCCTGGAGCGCACGGTCACGGCTTGCATGTTTAGAGTGGATTTCAAGTGACGGGTTGCCGCCACCTCCGTCGCAGCCGCCGCCTTTGAATTTGTTTGAGTCGCCGGTGGATTCGTGGTCGGCCGACGCGCGGCTGTCGAACATCATGTCCTACTTGCAGGAAGCGCCCTGGACACCGACGCCGGGCACGGCCGCCACGGCGCGGACC